AACCATTTGCTTATTAGTACGCGTTTTTTTTTTAAGACGTCAGCTGGCAGTTATTTCTCCACCATTCATTGCTTTCAACTGGGCCATTAAAAAGATATCTCGTTCGAATCTAGAGAGAGCTTGAAACGCTTCGCGTAATTCAGCAAACTTTTCTCTTGGAATCTTTTTTGAGCAATCACTATTGCAACCTATATCCAAGAAACGCATTGCGTTTTCATATTTAGTCGAACAATTATAATTGTAATTTCCATATACGGGTAATCCTATATTTTAATTTCATCATTTTCGTGAATAAGAGTTTATAAAGCATTGATATGAGATTTCCATTTACCATTATGGTTAACGACTTTGGCATTCAAGTAAATGGTCTAAGTGAAATTCCAACAAATTCCAAACTTTATTTATGACATACAAACTACCTGCAACAATTCTGCTCAACTTCAATAGCTACTACCATCTTGATTGCATTAAATCAAAAGTAGTGGTTGTATTGTTATGGTACAAAGTAGCTTGATCAGAACTTTTCCCAACAACCAAACGATAATGATTGCTATCTTGTGGAAATTTGCTCCGAGCAGCACTTGTTCCCTCCACACAAAAATCAATCACTGCCCAATCCTTCATCTTTAGTTGACCATATCTTTTGTTAGGCTGAAATCTTTCAGAATGTTCTCTAAGTCTCTTTCCATCCCTAAGGAGTTCAAAAGCCCATTGAAACCGGTCATTCAGGTAAAAGTCAACTGCCCCTGTGAACAGACCTTGATTAGAGAATCTGAAAAACATTTCCCACCTTTGGTATTGGGTGGGCCTCCTTCCCCCTTGGTGCTCATGCCACATAATAATATTAATATTTTCTTACCTTTCACACCAAAGTAGGTACCAACATCACAGCTTAACCTTGCTGGCATAACCATCCATGCTCCACGATAAAATTCATTCTGATATATTCTCTCTATATAAGTCCCATCCACACTCTTAGAATAAGTTGATCTCAATAAACTTCCATCAAGTTTTTTTAGTACATTGAACACGAATTGTGATATCCCCTGCTGACTGATTTCAGGTGATAATGGTGGTGCTGAATTGGGATAAATAAAAGTTCTGATATACTCTTTGTGATAGAATTGTTCCACAACTGGGCAACTGAAAGATAGAAATGATCCATCCTCATTGAACATTCCAATCTTTAAGAGAGAAGCTAAGACATCATTATCAATTGCATTCAAAGCTATGTGGCCATATCAAAGAACTTCCTGAAGAATACTTTGCAAATCATTCAGGCTGACAAGTTCTTTCAAGTATGATACACTTGTAAAAGCTCGAGAATTTTCTAATTGCTTTGTAAGTCACCCATCTGAAATAAATTGCAATGCTTCAGATTCAATGTCTCCCACCCAATCTTTAGGAGCTTTTGTAAGTTCTTCCAATGCTAAATGGCATAAGCCTGTGTGTCCATGCATTACTCTCCATATTGCATCTGTAAAAGTCTGTGACAGCACCAGCTTTTTATGATCACCTTCTGAATATTTTTTAAACTCAGCAACCAGTTCTGTATACTCTTCACAGTTCAGAACAATATCCTTGAAGTAATACTTGGAAGTAAAACAACTTGGGGAGGCCATGTTGCCCAATCAGCTTGCCTGAATACCATATTAATATAAAAACATACAAATTAAAATTACAGTCGTACCCCTTTATAGTCACCCTCTCTATAAGCACATCATATAAAAACCTCTTTATTAGCACACCATGTTTGAGAACCAATTACTATGGAACTTATAGGAAAAACCCTCTATACAGTCACAACCTCTTTATAAGCACATTTTCAACAAAAGTTGCATTGTTCCCGACTGTGTGATTATAGGGGGGTACGACTGTACACTGTAAGTAGCTCATAAAAGCTCGTGCTTGATACGTTGAAATATTTATCCACACACAGAACTGTTAATTAAACGACCTTTGAAATTAATCAACCGGATATATACTTATGAATGGTTCACTTAAACTTGTAAAGTTAACATATAAACGGCTTGTTTGAAGCTGTAGAATCTTTACTAATCAATTATGCGCGGGAAACGAGCGTCTCTAATTAATATAGTAATAGCAAGCAATTGTGTAATTAGTTTAAACAATACAAGTAACATTTAATCCGATTAGTCGAATACCAGTATGCGAGTTTCATAGAGACCATTTGACTTTCCTAAAACTTACCTCATCCACCTGCCCCTACGGCCCCCAACTCGACATGGGAATTGCTGCAATTCCTTCATTAGTAAGTCATATTCTGTCTTCATTTACACAAAATGGTGGTAGAAAATAGGGAAAATTCTAGTGCACTACTCGATACCCTTTCTCTATATTGCCGTAGCAGCTCTCTCAACTTTTCGTCACTTGACCGCCCCAGGTATGAGACATATCGGCGCATAACTTGGTCAATAGATCCTGTGCAAAAGTTTTTTTCATATCCATGGCAGAGGATACGCGACACACGTCTACCCCCTCCCTCCCTCCTAGACGTGAGCATCAGTCGGAGGCGGGAAACAACCAATATCGCGAGGAAGGGAACAATAAGGAACGCGAATCTTCCCCCTTAGGCATATCACATGACTTGCTTTAGATGAGTTGTTTACGTGTACGAAAACAAAAAATTCGCGATTGTTTACAAGGTGAAATAAATATTTAAACCTTGCGTAAGGATAATAAGCATGAAATTTTTCTTCTCCGCAGGTGTAGGGCTTCTTGGCATTCATGTCTTGCAGAGCATTCGGTATATCTACTCTTGTGATGCTAGCGATTCGGTCTCGTACTTCCTCCCTCTCTCGTTATGCAGAGCATTCGTGGACCTACTTCTTTGC